ATATATATATATATACATTTATTATATCATACGTGAGTGCACTTATTATTGTGCCCAAGGAAAAGCCTCTACAGCTGGCAAGGCGAAGGCCAAGGCCAAAACCAAAGGGCCCGCTCAGCAGATGCCTAAAACACCCCAAGAGCTTCAGGACGATATCCGTAACCCTGCTGATCTTACAGCTGGATGTTTCTAGTTGGGTTTGAGTTGCAGGTTTAAATTAGGGTCGTTAATTCTAATTAGTGTGTATTAATCCCCAACCCTGTCCCCAGAAATAAGAAAACACTATGTCAGTCTAGGTCAATTCTACGAAACCAGCTACAACCATAAATTTTCTTCAAACCCTACTGCATTTGATCGTTCTATAATGTGGGACATCCCAATTACACTAAAATATCTCCTAGTCAGAACGCATCCTGTGTAGAAGCCCCCCAATATCCCCGAGTGCCCAAGGCAAGGAGCTGAAGAAGGAGTGCAATGCGTGCAACATCGTCTTCGACCTTCCCAAGACTCTGGGCATGAGAACCATTTTGGAGAACAAGAAAACCTCTCTCGAAGAGGCACTGAGTGTGTTGAGCCCTGAGTCCGAGTGATCAAGTGGAAACTCTGTCACGTGAAATAGCACGGCTAGCTGTGCATATCCTTCTAGATATATTAGGATGCACTGAGGCTTTCCGGTGTGAACGATGATGATCTGGAATCCTTTGCGCAAGAGTGTGCTGATTTGGTTGCCTATCTGATCAAGCCCTCCGAAACCCGAAGCCCTTGCCTTAAGCCTTCAATCTGAACGACAGCTTACTCAGGTGGAAGAGGCCAAGATGGTTCGAGTCCAGGCTCGAGCGGTGGTAGCCGAACTTCGCAAGAAGGACAAAGATGCGAAGTGATCCAGCAGCTGACCTGTGAGCAGGTTTTGAAATCATCCAGAATGACCCTGAAAAAATATAGGTATGACATAGCTATAATATAATGGGGTTTTAAGATACGACTTAGAGCTTTAAGAGGGTCCTAGGACCCTGGATGATTTGCAGTTCTTCTGGTTAGCCTACACGGGAGGAACCTGTGTAGCCGGGGTATGTGCCACGATCCCTGTACATTGCCAGTTCATCAGATGATGTGCATAGAGCAATGCAGGGTTTTTAGAAAGATCTCTGTCCATGATCTTCTCGACGATTACGTGCTTGGGCATAGATGGGCCTTAGCATGCATATCGTCTGCAACCATGCAACTAGCTGCTGCTACTGGGGCAAGCCCGCTTGAGAAAAGATTGAGGCTTCAATTGCTTGCTTACTCCTTGGTGTTGTGGCCTGCTTCACATGTGACTGCACTACTTTGACCCTAAACCCTAAACCCTAAACCCCTAAACCCCTAAACTCCTAAACCCCTAAACCCCTAAACCCCTAAACCCCTAAATTTTAACCCCTAAACCCCTAAACCCCTAAACCCCTAAACCCTAAACCGAGTGTGTGAGTCGAAACCCTAAACGCTAAACCCTAATTTGCCACGCAGGTGCTGAATCCCTGTCTTCGGCAAGGTTGAAATTGGATGATGCGCTGCCCGGCTTTTCGTTCTCTTTGTAGGTGATGTCATTTTCGAACTACTAGCTTTAGCTGAGGTTGGCTCACTCGATTGGACGTGGCTACTTAACGGTTCGCCATTCGCGGCGAACTGCTGAAACTTACGACAGTGAGCTGATTACGCAACTCGATCGAAATAGTTCTGAATCCCGGCTGGCCTTCTGACCATGCATTGTGGAATCCGAAACCGTGGCCTCGGCTGCACATCAAGGTCTGGCCGAGAGGATGGACTACATCAGCGGGCTGCTCGAATGGACGTTTCTCTGAAGTCTCAAATCACAGACATCAAAGTGCCTTTGAAAGCAGCTGCTGATGATCCTACTGTGGAGTGGGTCGACTGGCCGTTCAATCTACCTCACGACATGGTGGCTGGGTCTGTAAAACGTTATACTATGACTTTGTACTCGAGCTGCCTTGTAGTACATATTCTAGTTTAAAAATTGTAGCCTATCCTATAGCAACCGGTTTGATCCAGGTACGTGCAGTAGTCGATGCGGGCTATTTCTATGAGCTCGTTTCTGATCTGGCTGCTATTCCAACCTATTGGAACCGTTTCCTAATGGATTACCCCGAACATCCTATTGCGAGCTCCGAGCACCGCGATACCACGCTCGGCCTTACCTTGTACTGTTTCTTGCCTGAATACGTAAGCACAGCTTTGAGAGTTTATAGTCCCACTATATAGCATAAGGAATTATAGTTTTGAGTTCAGGGTTACAATATGTTCTGTGGTTTCCAAAAAAATATGTAGGTGATGAAGCAACTTGCGCCAATGCAAGCTGGATGTATATCACCTGGACATGTGATATGGCCCCCCGCTTGACTGATAGTGCCGCCTCACGCATGCTGGTGGCTGTACTCCCAGCCGACCGTTATATCGTGGATCCCGATACAGGCATTAATCTCACGTTGCAATCGGCGTTTATGCACATTGCCAACAGCTTCAACCAGCTTACACGGCAAGGAGTCAAAGTTGCAGACCCGACAACCGATGCTGTGGCTGTTCGGCTGATTATGAATCGTCTCGAGTGTGCATATATAATGTAGTACATCGGTGTACGTGTGTATATGCTCTTTTCAACCGATTGTGCTTCGAGGTTCTGGATGTGCGAGCCTACGTCACTGGCTTCAGGGGGGACTGGAAAGCGCTGAAGCAAACCTTCAACTTCACACGGTATGCAGATCAAGATTCAGCCGCTTGCACATTTCACGATAAACTTGGGGTTGCTAATCGCTTCGTAGACGGGAGCTAGCTATATATGTACAGGGTATTTACCTACACGGATTTCTTCCTCGATCTCCCATTTCCAAATGATTCTTTCCAGTGGCTATGTTTGATTACGTACAATCGAGCCGCAATCGTAGGTATGCTGGATGTGTCATGCGACGAAGGGAGCAGCAAACCTTCAAGATGCATACACGAATATATCTCCTACAGCACCATGGATGTCCACCATAGGGGCCACTTTACCATGGAGGTTAACGCCTGCATATGCATCATTGCTGGGTTTTAACCCCGGGTTCATCCAGCCAGACTTGCTTCATATTTGGCATTTGGGGACTGGAAGGGATCTTATTGGTTCCGCATTGGTGTATATGGTCAAGAGCAACCTTTGCTTTGCTGGTTCGATTCAGGATGAACGTCTCGAAAATGCAACAGCTTCGCTGAAATCGTATGCCAAGAGGATGCGGCTTCCACTTAAGCTCAAAAAACTTTCGAAGTCCAAGTTGAACTGGCGTGCAAGGTGCATGCCCGAGCTTCGTTCCTCAGGTTACGACACGTTCGTTGTGGGCCGATGGTTGGCGGACGAAGTGGTCCCGAACCACCATACCGTGCTACCACAGAACCTTTGCATAGCCCTTTGGACCTCCGACCGGGTGCTTTCGATCATGGCCAATGGTGGTCGGTGGCTAACAAGAGATCAACAGCATGAGAAGGAGCGACTCGGAGGCTTGTTCATGCGATCGTACGTGCTTTTAGCAAAGCAAAGCATTTCGGAGAAAACACGCTTGTATAGGATGAGACCGAAGCTGCATATTCTGCATCACATTCTGATGTTTGCGCCGCCGTCCCGACTGAACAATCATATGTATGCTACGTGGATGGACGAAGACTTCTTGCGCAAGGCCATGAAAGTACATAGGAACACAGACCCTAGAAAAGCTTCGCTACGTGTGATTCAGAGGTACTTGCTAGGGCTTCCAAAGACGTGGCAGGATATCTGCAAGCGGCACCATTCGATGCGAGAATAAATCCGTCCAAGGGGCATATATGGTCATAGTCCGCTTTCCAGATGCCAGCAGATCGCCGGTCGATCAATAGGATAAATATTCAAAGGCTATAGTTAGGGTTTGATAGTCTGGATTAGGCCAAGTTCCCTTAAGCTAGGTTCGCCTTCGACTTCCAATATTTTGGTGAAGGGAATAGCTAGATTAGCTTGAGAGGTTTTACGAGTTGCAAAGGGATAGCTTTCTTCCCTCTTGAGGCTTCCGGCTTGGGCTTTAGGGTTTAAGGTTTGAAGTTGCAGGGATTGTGTTCCTTCTTTAAGCTTTCGGCTTGGGCTTTAGGGTTTAAGGTTTGAAGTTGCAGGGAGGGTGAAGTTTTTTCTTGAGAGGCTTAATTCCATGGGCCCAATTTCAGACCTACGGCTTCAGCTCCATCCCATATATCTTCCTAGAACCCTAAAAGCATATTCCTTGATCGTGCCTTA